TAGATAAAGAGAAACGATACAGAGGGCAAATAGAATGGCAAGTTTAAGAGAGTGGATGTGTAGATGTATTTATAATACTATAACTTAAGGATACACACAATGACTGAATTATAAATAAGGCAGTGGGGGAGATTTACTACAAACATTTTTACTATGATAGCAGGAATTATAACTTCATACAGACTCTAGGCATTGCACACAGTATACGAGGCATTATATGTGTGTGTGTGTGTGTGTGTGTGTGTGTGTGTGTGTGTATGTATATATATTAGTCTATGAAGTAGTAAGGTAAAACAGGTTTCAGTAAAATGATGATACACACTTACTGTTTTTGCTCCATGGAGCTATAAGTAAGGTAATGGTAGAAATATTCACATTTTCTACCCAACTATGTCTGAGCTGTGTGGTTCTTCTATACACAGATGATAAGAATGATGCTGAAGAAGGCTTTAATGATAATATAACATATGCCTACTAGTAATCTGTATTTTATGAAACAAAATGCGCTTTTCAGCACTTCTATTTTAATTATCATGTCTTGGAAAACATAATGTGAAAATTAAGTTGAGAGCACATTAGCCTTATATGTTGGCCTTGTTTTAATTTTGAAGATTTGCTGTTTAGTGTTGCTAAATTTTGCAATTAGATAAGCTAATTAAGTAAACTTGTGAGCAACTTTTGATTCTAATGAAATGGTCTTTGGGGTAAGTGAGTTCACATATAGCTAGGAGTAATTAAAAGCAAACTTTAGGAGAGAGAAATATAAGAAACAGGGCCTTCTTGACAGTAGAAGGCTAGGCCGTAGGGTAGATTATTGCAATGAACTGGTTTGTAATCTGCATGTCTGAGTAGCAAGTGAGCTCAAGCTCTGCAGCTCCACTCTCTGCATCTGCCACCTTCCTGCACGTCTCAGCAGCATCAGACCATGTCCCAACAGATGCACATCTAGGCCAGTGCACACAACCAAGGGGGACTGACCAAAATGTTGGGGGAAAAAAGAGATATCATTACTGCTTCTTTTTCACTACTAACCTCATACCTGCCAAATAAATGTTCACTTTGAGAATCTGTATGCAATTCTTCTTTCCGTCCAGAGGTTGGTGACGGACAGGAGAGAAATACCCTGAGTCTTGCTGATGAAATTGGCTAAACTCTGATGCCAAACACATCAGGTACAGCAAGGTTTGTTTTCTTCAGTATTTTCAGACACATAGACCCACTAAAAACCTGTATCTGTACTGACTTCTAAGAATGCTTTACAGATGTGTCTCAAGAGGCGCGCATGCTACTTTTTAGGTGAGGCCTCCTTCCAGAACCTCACTGAGCACCTTTACCAGTTGCTCACACTGGGTCAAAGCCCTCTCAAATTCTCTCGTTTGTAAGAAGCTGTTAATATGGTGTCTATTTATATCCTATTCTGAGCCTTCACAGGAAAAATTATCAGTTTTGTTAAGTGTATTTGAGAAACATAAACACACAATCCCTTTTCATTCCTGGTACACCAAATCTCACTTGACACTTTCCTATTCATTCACTCATTAATTCAAGTTATTATAACAATGAACATTATAACATGTTCATTATATTGTCTGAAATTAAGTAAAACTCTAATCACTCCCATTATAACCCTAAACTCTATTCCTTGCCACTGTGAAACCTGCCCTTCTACTTTAGGCTAGCTCCACCTTAAGCTTATCTTGAGGAAGAGACAGTGAGGGGTATTTTCCTCTATCTTAAGTTTCTTTCCTCTTTTTAGTGGTAAAATACTCTGATAAAACAACTTACAAGAGAACGGCTTCATTTAGATCACAGTACTGGGCACAGTCCATCATGGCAGGAAAAAAATAAAGTGGCAGGAGTTTAAAACAGCTGGTCACATTAGGCTCACAAATGAGAAAAAATGAGCTGATTTAACTCCTTTTCAACTCCCTTTCTCTATACGCAAAGTCCAGGAACCCCTGTCTAGGAAATGGCTCTACTCACATTTAAGGCAGATTTTTCCACATCAGTCAATATCAAAACAAGCCTCACCGCCATACCCAGAGGCTCAGGTGATAAGATCTGTCAAGCTGATAATTAACAATAACCATCATATCCTTTGAGAATTGTGAGGAAAACAACAACAAAAAAACATAGCCTCTGTTTTAAAAATGAATGGCGGTATGCAACGTGAAACAAAAATCTACGAGGAAGCACAGAACGAGTATTTGTAGATGGCAATGATTAAGCTGGGCAAGCATCCTCCACACATGGGAGATGAATGTGATACTTCACTTAGGAGTCACCCTCAAACATTTAGGATCCCTCACAACTTCTAGTTTGAAAAAAGTCCAAAAGCCCCACTCCTTTAATTAGTATCTGTCCAAGGAAAAGTTGCTGACACTAGCGCTTAAGAAGAAGAATCGGGCATATTTCTTTACTCATGAACTGCTTGCTACTGATGGGACATGAGACTGTCAATCATAAGGAACTTTTGCTGTTGGCTGCTGTTGGCCACTGACAGCACAGGTAATCTTAAGATGTGTGCTGAGATGGTGGGGGAAATAGAAGAAAGGCAAACATGAAGTTCAATTAATCATTCCACTGGACTATCACACACACACAAACACACACACACAAGTAGGAGTGATTTAAAGGCTGTGTATTTCAAATAGAATGACGAGATGTGTTAGTGAGAAGAGTTGGTAAAATCGTTCACAGATGTAGTAGTTCTTTGTGATTCCATATGAATTAGTGGATTTCTACAAGTACTTTCTCCCTATTCGTTGGTGACAAATGCTGTTTTAGCTTAGTAGATCATGAAATCAATGACGATGTTTTCTGATTTTTAATTTTATTTTTATGAGTATTTGCCTGCCAGTGTGTATGTGCACCATGTGTATTCTTCATGCCTGGAGGCCAAAAGTGGTTATGAGATCCCCCTAAAACTGTTAGAGATAGTTGTGAGCAACTACGTGCTACTGAGATCAGAGCCTGAGTCCTCTTCAAGAGTAGCAAATGCCCTTAATAGCTGAGCCATCTCTCCAGCAAGTTTTCTGATGTTTAGACTACTTTGGACTGCAACATGAACATTAATCAATAGTTAGCTGTCCAAACATTTTATAATATGCATTATATCTATATATACAATAACAATTCCTTCATCACATATAATCCAACCTTTTGAATTTTTTTTAAAAAGTGGAAAAGGTAGTTGAACATGGGATTATAAATACAATCTGTATTTATTTAAAAAATAAATAACTTATAGGTAGAAGAGGATATTTACACAAGGTAGACAATAAAGAACAGTATCATTGTTATTCTTTACCCCACCTTGACAGATAACTTTAAGAATTCACTGTGGAAGAGAAGAATGTAAAAGACAGGATGAGGAAGGGTGCTATGAAATGCAAGCTTTGGATATGATATGGCTGTTGCATACAGAAGCTGTGATTAATTAATTACATTAGACCAGCACCAGGTCAAACCAGTTCAAAGACTGCATTATGGAATGAGGAGGGAACCTGAGGCACCAAGCCCAGCTAAAGAGCTAATAGGCAGATGGCTACTGTCACTTTTCTTTAGGAATATAGATGACTTAACACCCATGACCATATCAGTAGTGATAACTGGACTCAGTGGATTAAGTTTATAAAATAAAAAAATTATTAAATAATATAATTATTAAAAATAATTCTAAATGTAATTATTAAATAATTAGAACAATTAATAAGAATATAGACTGAAATATCAAATAGGGAGCTGCATGGGTGGCAGCTGAAGGTTCAACACTTAATTTGATTCTTCAGACACTGTCTACCTTATTGTTACAGATAGTCCCTTTCCGTGTTATGGAACTTGCCGAGTACCCTTGTGTGGCTAGCCAGAGAACCCCAGGGATCTGTTTCCGCCTCTCCTTAGTACTGGGGTTGCAAGCATAAGGCCAAGGCTGGCTTACTTACAAAGTCTCTGGGGTCCAAACTCAGGTCTTCAAGCTTTTACAGGATGTAATTTACTAACTAAAGCATGTCTCCAGCTCTTTTCATGGTCACTATTTCTGCCCTACTACTGTTGGATTTTTCTGATACTTCAAAATGTTTGATATATTTATCAATTAAACATTGACTATTTTTTTACTTCAAAGCACTTATTTATCTGATACATTTTAGTGACAGAAACCTTTGGCAAACAGCCTTGGGACTCCTGTGACATCTAAAACGTCACCTGGCAAATATGAAGCCTATTGGCACATCGTCAGTAAGGCTAGTAATCAAGAGGTGAAGGCAGGGGGATCATGAGTCCGTGGCTAGCCCGCACTACACAGCAAACTACAGAGAAGCCCTGTGGAAGGAAGGAAGGAAGGAAGGAAGGAAGGAAGGGAGGGAGGGAGGGAGGGAGGAAGGAAGGAAGGAAGGAGAAAGAGAAAAGGGAAAAAGCAAACAAATACAACAACAAAAGTTGTATTCAGGTTTAAAGCCTGAAGAGGAGACAATGAAATTCCTTCTAAAATTTTTTTTTTTTAGAACTGGAGTCTTTTGCTTTTGGTTCTTCGGGAAAAAGAAAGAAAGCTTTTTCATCATGTGGTTCAGGCTGTGCTTGAATGCCTGGTTCCAACTCAACCTCCTGAGTACTGGGATAACAGCTATGAGTTACTATGTCTGGCTCTCACTGGATCCTAGATTTTTCAAAGAGCGTGGAAACTAGCAATATACTCACAAAGCCAGCAGAGGGTGTTTTAAAGCAGCTTGCACTATCTTAACATGTGTTCCTAGGGAAGAAACAACCAAGACAATCCCATGCCTATGACAGCATATATTCATCTTATATGGGTTTAGAAAGCAAACAATTATATGTCAGGAGAATCACAAGCAGAAATGAAAATTATTCCCAAGAGTAGGTAAAATATTCCTATAAAAATATATTTAATATTGCCAAGCATGAACAATGTTATGATTTAGACTTCCTATCCCACTATACTTTTGTACCATTTAACTTATGGAAGACTCAATTACCAGGAGGGCTTTTAAAAACAAAGTATTTTAAATTAGATTTTACTGGAAGAATATCATATACATGATTAAAAATAAATCACATAATACTGTCGCACTAGTAACAAAAAAAGGAACCCTTACTTTTCTTATACCTATCCCCATTTCTTTTCTCCATAAATAACCGTTTTTAGCTCTTTGATGTCTCTGCATTGATTTTTCTAATCACTTCATTTTGCTTTTTATATATCTGACTTTTTTTTTTTTTTTTTTTAGCGCTGGCAACCAAACTTAGAGCCTCCTGCATGCTAGGGCAACACTGTAACAAAGCCAAATCTCAAGTCCATCTGATCTTGATGTATATGCCATCATTATACACACATCTTTTTCAGCTTTTTCAGCTGTCCAATGTTATATAATTATTCCTTGTTAAGTAACAATTTATATTACAGGTACAATATTATTCACAGGAGGTATGGCAGCATGATTTATGAATATTTTATTTTTCCTGGGGTTTGTAATGGCTTCAGTTTTAACTTCAAAATAAAGCACAATTACTAGTTCACCCAAGACTTGGAAAATTCTCTAGCGCACATTCACATACACCAGATATTTGCTCTTTTTCAGACATTCAGAACATTCCATCTTTGGGAATTTCCTGTTTGCTTCATGCTGCTACCCCCTCCATATACATGAATATATATTTTACCCTCCCGCTCCACAAGCACACCGGCATTCCATTTTACTTGCTTGTCCCTCCACCTGCCAAACGTCATTTCCACAAGTTTTGTAGCATCTGCATTTTATTCTGTAACTAAAGTTAAGTATTCCCTTTTAATTTGGCCATTTGCATTACTATCAGGGAATAGTAGTCAATTCCCGTGCCACATCTGGGCTTTCTTTTCTTTAGATCCAATGTTTCTTTGACAGGGACATCTTCACACACTTTCACTATCTGTTCAAAAATCTGCTGTCATATTTGGCATTCCGCGTATGCTTTTCCAGTGGTTTGGCTTTGATGCACAGTTTCAATATATCCTCTTGTGGGAGTTGGAGATACATGCTTCCAGATCACGGTCCTGATGGAACAGGCCTCTTAATCAATGTCTAGCTCACAGTCCAATAGTCTCAAAAAATGAATTCAAAACGTAGAGTTTGATGTAAATCTGTGTTCCTGAAAAACGTAACCCTCCTTTCTCATAATGCATCCTGTGCCATTGGTCGTGGCCTAAGATCCGCCAGTTTACTGGTGTTCCTTAGATACTCCCTCGGGTCTTAAATTTCTCTGCTTCTGGAGGAACACAGACGCAACCGGCTTCCCCACCTCCACGTCCCGGGAGAGGGAGCAGGCCGCGCGTGAGCGCGCTCTCGTGAGACTGCTCCTTCTTCTCGCGCATCCCGGCGGCGCTGCGCGGCGGCCCGGGGAGCGGCCATCTTGCGGGCCGCCCGCAGCTCAGACGCCGCCCTAAATGTGTACCTGCAAGCGGATGTTGAGGATCACGGAGCCCGCGATGTAGAAGTACGGGAAGTTCATGCGCAGCTGCCAGGCCAGCTCGAAGAAGGCGAGCAGAGTGCGGGACAGCCCCTTGCAGAAGGCGCCGTACGGGGTGGCGGCGGGGCCCACGGCCCTGAGCGCCAGGGCGGACGGGGCGTCGGTGGGGGCCATGGCGTGGTCCCACCCGGCCGAGGGTCTCCGCAGCGACGCGCACGCCGGAGCAGGGCCGGGCCGTGGCCAGGACGACGCGGCCGCTGTGGTTCACCTCCGCCGCGAGCGGCCGCCGCTGGCTCCAGCCGCTCCCTCCCCGGCGGCGCGGAGTGGCGTGGGCTCCGCCCCTTCCTGTCAGCTTCCCGGGGAAGGTCCGCTGCAGGCGGTTATGTAACTCGGAGGGGCCGCCGCGCGGAGATCCCTGTCGCTTTAAAGGAAGGAGCTTCGTGGGCCGATGTGATTTAGCCAGCAGTACGCATTTTGCAAGGCTCAAAGGTGGATTAAAATTGAGTTTGTCTGCCCTGTAATCCTGAAACGTTCTCTGCGGTACTAAGACCAGATGATCACCTTACGTAAGCTTACACAGGCATAGAGGCTGCATTTGTAACACCATAACTGTGAAAACTCATCCTATTTATGGATTAACCTCTGTATTGGGACTATTTAGATTGCAAGTGACAAATTAAGCAAAAATACCCACAGGCTCTTTTTGCAGGGTGGGTGCACATCTGTATATGGTTGTATCTACACTTAATATAAACCCATAAAAAAATTCAGATTAGGTATATAGACTTGTGCCTGGAAATGCACTAGTGAAACACCCAAGGAAGGCTGTAAGGATCAGAACACTGCTATTATTTTCCCATCCTTAGTATCCTATGGAACAATTGGGTCTCCATTAATCACAGTGCTTTTCTGGCATTTATGTAATGCACGTTCATTGTTTTTTCAGCAGTGCTCCCGTGTAGCCTCATTAGTGTATTATGCATGGATGCTAATTTCTGAGCATGACTTAGAATACAGTATAGTTTTAAACATCAAGGTTAAAATGCTCCATGTTTCACCCTGAACTGCATGTATGTGTTACTTATTCAAAGCAAAGCATCCGTGTGCTCTGAGAGTGATTGGTCAAAAGGCCACTCCTAAATCCCAGAACTTCAAAGTGCAGTCTAAATATCCCCCCCCCCCCCCAAAAAAAAAAAAAAGTCAACCTAGACTTTAGGAAGATTTCTGGTGGTTACATAAAAGCCAACATTCCTTTAAGCAGTTGTGAAGTGGGTTCCTGTGTCTGTCAAAAGGAGCATTTTCCTTATCCCTGGCAAAAGGGCTTATGGCTCTCCTGTTAACACATATCTGTGGCCCCCATCTGAGCATAGCAAGACCACTAGCCTGCAGGCTTCCTCTTTCCTGACTTAAGCATTTCCAAGGCCCCATGCCCAGCCGCTTGCTTTCCCTCCCTTTTTAACCATTGCTGTTCTCTCTATTATTTCTCTATTCTTTTTTTATTAGTTTTAAACAAATGTTTTTTTTTATATTAATTATACTTTATTCACTTTGTCTCCCAGCTGTAGGCCCTTCCTTCATTCCCTCCCAATCCTACCCTTCCACCATCATCTCCAATTCCCCTCTCCAAGTTCACTGATGGTGGAGGACCTCCTCCCCTTCCATCTGACCTTAGCCTATCAGGTCTCATCAGGACTGTCTTTCATAGTCTTTCTCTGTGGCCTGGTAAGGCTGTTCCCCCTCAGAGGAAGATGATCAAAGAGCCAGCCATTGACTTCATGTCAGAGACTGTCCCTGTTCCCATTACTAGGGAACCCACTTGGGGACTGAACTGCCATGGGGTTCTGGGTTATCTTCATGGATGGTCCTTGGAGTATCAGTTTCAGAAAAGACCCCTGTGCCCAGATTTTTTGGTTCTCTTTCTCTCTTTGTGGAGCTCCTGTCCCCTCCAGGTCTTTCTATCTCCCCCTTCTTTCATAAGACTCCCTGCACGGTGCCCAAAGTTTGTTTATTTCTCTATTCTTTATCCCCCGTTTTCCCCTCTCTCACAGATAGCCCCAGCCATATATACTCTGCTTTCCATGCTACATCTACCCTTTTTCCTCTTTGCTTTGGACTTGTCCAGTTGCCTCTGGCTGTTCTCTCATATGTACAATAAAACCTTCCCATACCATGGAGTAGTTTTGCCATCTATTGATCCTTAGAGCACTTCTGTTTCTCTATTAACTACTTACAGGGCTTTTGCAAATAACACATCATTGTGAAAGTTGGGAAACTTAAAGGGGAGTCTTCATTTATGCTCCTTTTGTGCTGTAATATCAGCGCTACACCAGCAGAGAAAATGGTCCCCCAATTATGGAATAGGGGATAAAGTGACCAACTCAGAAACAGAATGTGCGTAGTTTAGTGCACGTGCAGTATGCTCTGAAACAAGAAATCCATGGAGCTGTTCAACACTCACAGGAAGTGTAAGCCAAGGATCTTACACTTAAAATGACATAGGATTATTCACTCATTCACATGTTTACACCACCTGACCCACCCTAACCTCCACTGGTTCCACCCCTCGTTCACCCCATGAGGATAACTGCCTTCTACCCTCAGTGGGTGGGGAATATAGAAGTCATGCACTGGTGAAGTGGCCACATTGAAGTATTCCTGTAGGAAATAGTAAAGAAGACTCCCACAAAGCTCCAAATCCCACTTACTGCTCAAGAGTGAATGGAATTCCATAGTTTACACTGTTGTGGTTTTTCTTCTTTCCCTTGAACTTTAGACTTGAAAGCCTTACCTCTTGACAGGTAAGTACATTTCAACAAGTGATCAAACGTAGCACATGATTAAAATAGTTTCTATGGATAGTACTTTATAGCCTTCTCTTGATTTTACCCAATCTTTTGTTTTCTTATCTTTGACTGCCTAAAGCTTGCTTTCTAGGGGTTTGTTTAGCTTGATAATCTTTCAAGCAAGTTTAAGGTCAGCTTAAACTTGTGGTTCTGTGGAGAGCTGTATTGTCTAATTCTCAATTTTGTTGTTGTTGTTCATGAGATGATTATTTTGTTGTTGTAAGTGAACTATTAAGAAAGAAATCCATTCAAAATGAAATGGTTGGGTTCAAATGATTCAAAGGCATGGACCAGAAAAGGTGAGTTGTCTGAATAGTTGAATGCTAACTATTTGAATACAAAGTTTGCAGTCATTGCTGTACATAGAAACTGCTTGAGGCTTAGTAGAAACTTTGCAGAGATTTAGTCAAAAGCCTTGAAAGAAAAATAAAATGTTTTCAAAAGTGGATGCCAGTAATTAGGTTCTGTAGCAGCACTGGGTGATTTATGGATCTATACATCACCATTATGATTATAAATTGCACCATTTACTTAGCAGCAACAATCTGCTGAAGAAAGCAGATTGGGCCTATTTTAAGTGGGTAAGAAATAGAACTCACGCATAAAAGGAAAGTGGGAATAATAAGCACAATAGTTTTGGTTGACCTAAACTTCTACCACCATCTTTTTTTTTTACCCTGTGTGGCTACATATTACAGCCCATTTTCTTTTAAATTCCGTGGCTATTGTAAAGTAAAAGAGCACTGTAAGATAACAATGAGTTCACAAGTATTTTATGAAAGGCATTGTTATTCCCAGAGCATCTCAAACAACAGCTATTCCTTTATTTGGAGATGTGGCGATAGACTTCAATCTTTACTAGCAGACATTGGAGTGGAACCCCAAGTCATATTCACTAGCATGAAAAGGAAGGCATTTTCTTTTTCACAGTTTTATGGGCATTTTACCTTCTCACACCCCCACGTGATTTGCATATTCAAGTGTAGATGTAAATGTAGAATTTTAAACTTAATTGAACAATGTAAAAAGTATCAAAATTGATAGATGGAAGTTAGTTACTTTGAGATTATATACTTGAAAGAAGTAACCTCTGTGTAAGATGGCACTATGTACAAAGAATATACCTGCACAAAAATATATCAACAGGACCAGTGGTTGGGGGTGCAGGCCTTTAATCCCAGCACTTGGGAGGCAGGAGCAGCTAGATGGGTCAGCATGGTCTGCAAAATGAGTTCCAGGTAAGCCAATGATACACAGAGAAACCCTGTCTTAAACCATCCCTGCCCAAAAATTTGATTGTCAGAAAATAATTTAAAGACAGTTGTGTATTTTTCCTTTCACAAAGCTTTTCACTCCTCTTAAGAACTTAGTAAACCCTGAGTGCCTAAAGTTAATACTTACAACTTTGTTATTTGAAGCCATAAACTTAAATGGACTCACTCTCTTTCACACCCCCTCATATTTTGTTTGCCTTCTCATATAATAAGTAATTTAATAGTAACATAATCATTAGTTTATTGTATCATAATTAATTAATATAATAAAATATTATGATGTAATGTAATAATAATACAATAAACAACAACTAAGGCATGAGTTATTATTATACCCTGTAATTTTGCAAATGAGATAAAGGTCATGGCGATTAGATGATATTTACAGCTTCTTTGTCACAGTGAGAGCTCAGAGTTTGTAAGATTGATCAAGTACATCACTCATCCATGGCTTTCACACAAAGGCTTCAGTCCTGACACAAAATGTTCATGGTCTTTACTTAATTATAATTTCAGGAATTTTGTAGATATTAATAAATCTGAAAAAGTTAATTTTCTGTGCTACTTATATTTTTTCTTGCTAATATAACAAAGTACTTGAAAATTTCATGTTCTTACATTGACCACATGTTGCATAGCATTTACATTAGGGAAAATGAACCAAACATAAAAAAACCATTAAATGTCAGAATTAGCCAGAAAACACATTCCATAGAAATTTAACCAAAAAACACTTAGCATGAAAAGTTATTGGACAAAAGAGAGTGTTGAGAGCTACACTGACCGAAAGCTTTCCCCAAGGCCCTGATATGTGGAAAAGGAACCAAACTCCTTTTCTAAAGCCAAGTATATGCTTGGCAGAGCCATTTATGTGATCTGGGACCTCTGCCATGGGGAGGCTGCAGCTTTAGATTCAGAGAACTCCACTCTTCTTACCCTAAGGGATTGTGATTAGTCACAAGACTATGTGCTTGCTTGGTCTTTGATATCCTTGTGGTATAATTGTGTTCCCTTTGGGCAACACTGCTTAATTGGCTTCCTGATGACTTGTCCTATTGTACGATAGATTTTGTTGACCTTGTCCCCTTTCCACATTCTGGTAAAAGTGTACATACATCAATTAGCTTGCTTGGCAATAAGGCATAGTGTGTGGAAGAGTTCCTGACCCCAGTTTCTTGTATTGTTTCTCTTCTCATCTTTTGCCGTTCCCTCTTAGGACTCTGTCACTGAAGAATGACATGCTAGTAAAGGTCAATAGAGGATAAAATTTGTGAAGAGGATTAGAGGGCAGCAAGGATGACCACAGAATGATATAGCTGACATTAAAAATAATCAAAGACTCGAACCTCATACTTGAGTCTAAAAATGGTACCAACGAGAAACCTACACATATTCATGAAAGCATACATGCGCGCACACACACACACGCACATACACACATCCCAATTCAAGAACCAAACTCTAGAAGACCAAACATGAGGACCCACCCAACTGACCCACAATGCTGGAAATGCACAATGCTGATATAGTGGTTAACCCCTTCTTTACATGAAGAGTTGGTGACTCACAGACTTATTCCTTGACGTAACTGAATAACGTGTCAGAATATTAGAAGAACTGTTTTTGAAAGGAGCTGACAGCTGGGTGCCATGGTTTAAAACCAGAAACCTAAGCAGAGAAACTGTCCACACCACTCACACTGTCCACTAGGCACAGTTTATCTGGAATTTCTAGTTTCATTGAAATAAAAATCTATGGTTATATACTTTAATTTTTTTACCATGTGTTATTATTATACTTCAAATATTATCCATATTCTTGTTTTTTAAAATTTCTTGTAGAATCCTTTATTAATACTCTTATACTTTTTCCTTTTAGTTTTTTTTATGTCAATTAGAATATTCTTTATTTATTACAGTTGGCCCTCTTTATCAGTTGGTTTCCTATCTGCAGACTGAAGCAACTAAAAATAAAAAGTAAACAGAAAAAAGAATTTCATTATTAGTGTCATAATTGAAACTTCCCATCATTGCTCCTTGAGCACTGAAGCATGATAAATATTAAAATTGTCATGATATTCAAGTGTGTGTGTTATTACATGTTGGAGATAATCTGAAACATACAGAAGGATGTCCATAGATGATGACAAGTCATAAAGCAAGCATCCATGTGCATTCTGCATTTATAAAATAGAAACACAATCTTTGTAATCAGATTGTCTATGATAACAATTCAGTGTTTTTCATTCTTAAGTCAAAGGACACTGAATGAATTTTTAAAGCTTTTAATTTTTCTTTCAGTATATACCAACATGGTATTAACAGGAGAGTTTTATGTAGAACACTGTATATAGATTTGTAAATGAAGAAATAAGTAGTTTATTTTTCTAATTTTTCTTTACAGCTATAAGTTTAACCTGTCATTAATTTTTCCCTGCTTAAATTTAGATCCTTCTCATTTATTTCTTAACTATCTTTTAATACATTAAAAGATGAATTTTTTTTTATTTTGCTGAAATTTTCAAACATTAAATTGAATACTATTTTCATACCGTACTTTTTTTGTGTATTTGCTTGGGGGCTGATTTTAATCCAAGTCTTTCCCAGTCCCACGGATATAAAATAGTTTATTACTATTTTTTCTCTTTCTCCTCCTTTTGTATGTATGTGTGTGGGGGATGGTGTCTTTATGTCTCTCTGTGTGTGATGTATGTGTGTGTGTACAGGTAACATCACTCTCGGGAGGTGATCAAAGAGCTAGACCACTGAGATCATGCCAGAGAAAGCCCCTGCTCCTCTTACTAGGATACCCACTTGGACACTGAGCTGCCATGGGCTACATCTGAGCAGGGAATCTAGGTCCTCTCCATGTATTGTCCTTGGTTGGAGTATCAGTCTCTGCAAAGACCCCTGAGCCCAGGTTTTTTAGTTCTGTTGCTCTCCTTGTAGAGCTCCTGTCCCCTCCAGGTCTTTCTGTCTCCCCCTTCTTTAGTAAGATTCTTTACACTCTGCTCAAAGTTGGGCTGCCTGTTAGGTAGCGTCTATAAGCCTCTTCAAATTTTATACAGGAAGGAGTAAAGCCCCTGCTTCCCCTTACTGGGGAACCCACTTGGATACTGAGCTGCCTATGGGCTATATCTGAGTAGGGTACTCTCCATACATGGTCCTTGGTTGAAGCATCAGAGGAGGACCCTAGGAAAGATGCTCAATCCTTATTCAGAAAGGGAACAAGATAGACATCAGAAGTGGGAGAAGACAGAGAACAGGACAGGAGCCTACTACAGAGGACGTCTGAAAGACTGTACTGATCAAGGTTTGGAAGCAGATGCTGAGACTCATAGTCAAACTTTGGGCAGAGTGCAGGGAATCTTATGGAAGAAAAGGGAGACCTGGAGACCTGGAGAAGACAGGAGCTCCACAAGGAGACCAACAGAATCAAATGATTTTGTTAAAAGCAATACATCAAATAGTATCCAGGAATTCTACTCACCAATACCACCCAGGAACAACAACAAAACAATACAAACAAAACAACAACAAAAAAACCTAATCAATAATATCAGTAAAACTTCAACCATAGTGTACTGTCTGATAAGCTTTACTTGTCCTCACTCTCTGTTACTAAATAGACACAAAGCTATGTACCAAAGAATTATGAACTAAAAAATTCCACTTAGTTAATAAAAGCAGACAAGTACTTGGATAAGCAGAGGGCTGGTAAAATGATGCACTTCAAAGGATAATGATGTTAGGATCCCCTACCCGAATCTATACATAATTAAAGTTTGAACTCAAATGTGTAAAAAAAAATGTTATATCTTGCTACATATGAAAACTTACTCTTTATTTAAAACCCTCAAAGTAAAATATGCATTTATATATATGTACAGTATAATTAAAAAAAAAAAGGTCATGGTTTTATATTGTAGTTAACTGCATTAGCCTTTTTAATCTAAAAATTAATCTAATTATCCACAAACTTTTTAAAATACTCAATATTTCATGATTTATTTATAAATAACTGCTCTAGATGTTCTTAGTTTGTCAAGAAATCACAGGTTCATGGCACAGACAAGTATTTAATTACCTCAAATTTCTGATCTAGTTGAGTAGTTTAAAACTGACTATTGGGAGCCTAAAGTTAGGTGTGTGTGTAGCTAACATCTAAGTGAGTAATTGTATGTTTAATTTTGTTTAAATTATTTCCTGATTCTTTAAAAAGACAACTGGATGTATTAATGATTTTTTCCCATGGATTTCAAATTGTTAGTGTTACAAATCATCATCATCATTATAAATATTTAATGATTTTAGGTAAAAATGTATTATATTCTTTGAAAAACTTACAATGACCTTCTAAAAACTGATTGCAATGATATCCTTAATAAATTTTAGACTCTAAGTGCTGCTTATTTTGTATAAAGTTTTGTTTCTCCTTTAATTTTTTTTTCTCATGCAATACATATCCACCACTGCCTCCCCTCCTTCTATTCCTTCCGTTTTCTCACATGCACAACTCTCCTCACCTTCAGATTCACTTGGCTAAGGTTTCCCTTCAAAAGAGAGCAGACATTCCAGAGATATCAACATAACAAAGCATCACAAGATACAGTAAGACTGGCACAAACCCTAACATCAAGGTTGGGCAAGGAAACACTGGAGGGGGAAAGGATCCCAAGAGCAAGTCAAAGAGTCAGAGACAGCCTTATCCCCACTGTTAGAAATCCCTCAAAACTCCCAAGCTAAACCATCAAAACATACATGCAGAGGACCTAGTAGACATATATGCACAGAATTATGCAAGCTCTGTGATTGCCACTTCAGTCTCAGGGAGAACCCGTGAGCCCTGTTTAGTTGATTTTGTGGGTTGTGTTTTCTTGATATTCTGAACCACTCTTGCTCTTAATCTTTTCTACCCATGTTTTGCAGAGTTTCCCAAACTCTACCTAATGTTCAGCTGTGCAAACATTGCATCTGCTCCCATCGGCAGTTGGAGGAAACCTTTCTGATGGTGTTTAGGCTAGGCAATGAGTAGAACAGAATATCATTAAGAATTATTTCATAACTAATATTAAAAAAATAAAAATAAAAAAGAATTACTTCATCAAATATTGTTATTTTACCATTATTATTTTTGGTCATATTTGGTTATACCATAGGTTTCTGGGTTATCAACTTTCTGGTTCCTGGCTATTCAGGCAGTGTTGGGCATGGACTCCCTCTTGTAGAATGGGCCTCAAGTTAGGCTAGTGTAATGGTTGGCCAGCCCCACAGTCTTTGAGCCCTAGCACATCTTGCAGGCAGGATAGGGTGTAGGTTGAAGCTTTTGTGGTTGGGTTGGTGACCTAGTCCCACCAATGTAACCCTTGTCTGGTTACAGAAGATGGCTGGTTCGGTTTCCCTCTATATGACTTTCATGATACAAAAAGTTAAGGAAGGTATAAAACACCCTTGAACTATTTCCACATAGATTTCTTTGCTATATAGAATACACAACAGCCTGTTGTTTGGATGTCATATGTAGTTGAGATACTCTGTCCTTTCAGCCTACATCTCAGATGCCTCAGTACCAAAAAAGAAGTCTGCTTTAATTTAGAATTGCCCAGAATCAGGATAAATGAATGAGCTGAAGGATACATGAGTTCAGTTATTACACAAATAATATGAACCAGTTCATTGTGACGCTTCTGAGAAATCCACGATATAAGAAGGGACAGAAAGTACATAGTATAAAGCAGTAGGAAGGAGACAATAATTCTCAAGGCATTCATGTGAGCCTTGGTACTAGGGTCTCCGTGTCCTCTGGAATTGAGCTGCATCTTCTGGAGATGTTTCCACAAAGAGAAGATTAGCAGGAGAAAAGCAATCAAGGCCAATGAGAATGGCATTACAGAGAACATAGTCCTGTTGAACAAGATCAGCTCTGTTAATGTGGCAAACTCAGTCCCCATAGGATTCACACTTGTATTTCCTCCATATTGATACAACCACTCTTCAATAGTGATGGCTGTCTGCATCAGATTTGCAAATAAAAAGGCCAAGCTTCCCAGCAGTATCCCTACAATCAATTGTTTAAGTCTCCACTTCAAGTAAAGAAAGATCTTCCAGGAGCAGTGAACTATTCTGAGTAAATAAAAGATGCTGAGGGCTGTGGTGAGCCAGACGCTGAAGTGGCTAGATAGTATGCAGCTGAACAGAATTATTTTAAATTCTTCTCTGGTAATAGATGAAATGGATTGATTTTTAACCCAAACAAGTAGTGTTTCCCAGATGAGACCCATTCTGCAAATTGCCAAGATAGTTAGTATTTGATCAATTGTGGAAAGATCTCTTTTATTGACCCAGTCAATGCAGTTTTTCAGCACTATCAAACCATTGCTCAAATTCCCCAAAATAAACTCTGCAACTACTACAGTGGTGAAGATGCTGTGCAGGACAGGTTCCATGTTCAAACAGAGAAAACCCAAAGCCTGAAAGCAGTGCTCCTTATGTGCTGATCAAATGCTTGTCCGATGAGCCAGTGTACATCTGAATTCCTTCTCCTCCTTGTCCTGCTCCTTCTGCAGTCTTTGATTATAAGGAGAGCCAAACATCTTCCATTTGCCATTTAATGTGCACACATTATTGTGACATAGTTTTTCTGCAATTCTCTGCTGAGTCCTAGCTATGTTTTTATGTGGTTGCCATGAGCTGAAATATTCAGCACATGATTTGGAAACCAAGGCCAACTCACATTGCGCATATGAAAATCAAGAAAGATTCTTTCCTACTGTTTTTGCATATCTGACCTTTTCCATATTTAGAAAATTTGGTTGTGCCAGCTTGAATTCTGAGGTACAAAAGTTACAAAAACCTGGTTTGACAAATGTAAAGTTAAAAGTTTTTGTGCTCAAGAGTCTTGCCACTTTGGACTTAAAAGACATGCAATGTCAAGTATGTGTTTTTCTCGCAACACTTCAGTTTCTGCTGAGCTCAGGCCCTATCTTTTCCACACTGAGAGTGGCAGCTGTATTCAAAGAAAAAGAGATGAATTCATTGTGAATAGTCAGCTTCTTTTTCTGCCTCTGAAGAAAAAAAAGAAAACAATTTGAAATTGTACAGGCTGATTTAAGATTATTAATTTGAAATTCATGTTAATGTATTTAAATACTGTTTTAACCTTGCCTAATATAATAAATCATCCTATCATCTGTTGAAAAATTCATTTACAAATTAGCAATTACAAATTGCTGAACTTATTAAAAATAAGGAAATCATGAAATTTGCAGGCAAATGGATGGAACTAGAAAAGATCATGCTGAGTGAGGTAATCCAGAACCAGAAAGACACACATGGAATATACTCACTTATAAGCAGATATTAGCCATATAATACCAAATAGCCATACTATAATCCACAGACCTAAAGAAACTAAATAGGAGGATGTTTAACTCTCATTCAGAATGGAAAACAGAATAGACACTGGGAGTGATTGAAGAGAGAGAACTGGATGGGAGCCTACCATGAATGTCCTCTCAAAGACACCCAGCAGGGGATCAAAGCAGATGCTGAGACTCATAGCCAACGAGAACAGATTTCAACTGATAATCACTTACAACAGTAATGGAATATTATTCATTATTTGAGTTTGTTTTTTTTTTTTTTTTTTTTTTTTGACTGCCCAGAGCAGATAGAGAACTGTCTACATCCTAGGCTCACTAACAGAGCAGTATACACCTTGCTTATTCCGACCTCACTGAAATTCTTAACAGACACAGACTCCAGGTGCTGGTTTCATTGTTCTTTCTATTCTTTCCATCTTGAGACTCCTACATGTATTTTTTCTTTCTACTTTTCTAAAACCTTTTTTTTTTTTTTTTTTAATTTAGTCTCACTATATTTGGGGAGAGGGAGTTTCAGATGTGGTCCACCTAAATTTAGGTTGCCTCACCTGAAGGACAAGGATTATTTCTGAAGTAAAAAGCAGAAAGCAAGCTGGCTCAGCCGTAGAACTCTGTCCAAAGTGTGAAACCTTTTAGGTTTGTAAGTAAGTAGCTCATTAAGGGGACTGTTATTGGATATTAATATTTATTATTAATTTATCTGGAGTTAACAGCAGTTATTCCTAAACCAGCTGTATATCCAAACCACCACGCAGAGACTAGGATTTACTTAACTAACCTGGAACACAACGCTGCTGCCCAATAGTTACTCCATCCTAAACCTCCAAGCCAGCGTAGTTTCCTCCCATTCAGAATTCCAACATTATACTTGCTTTCAGTCATATCTTAGGACGATTGATTTATCTCTCCTCATGGTTCCAAGACCTCTCCTGCAGATCTCTGCTCACCTCCCAGTCACTTCCTTCTCCTCGCCCAGCCCCTCCCCACCCCCCAGGATCCCCTTCCCATCTTTCTTCCCAACCCAAAGTTCTCATGATAATTTTATATTTGCTCAAGCAAGATGAAATATAAGGGAAAGTATGTAGTTGTGATCTATGCTGCTTACTGACACTCAGATTCTGCATGCATAGGTCACTTAAGGGACAGCACAGGCTTTGCACAAGCACCACTGTTCACGGTTCTGGAAAGATTCTAGAAAAGAAAATTTCAGGAGGGAAAACTAGAGCAAATTAAAGTGGTTTCTTATACACACGGAAGCACAATCAGCTCCAGAGGGAAAACATAGGAACCTTTCTCTGTATCTGAAGGACAATGAAGAAGTATAGGGTATGAATGTTATTGTATAAAAGAGTGTTTACAACAATTTTGTTTCCTTGGATTGAAGATGTATGATCAATGTTTTGTTTTTTCCCACACTTATTCACGTAGGATTTACTTAACCCTCTGGTAAATTCTGGCATATTCCTTATAATATTGTGTGCTAATTGTGCACAGAGGGTAATTGACTTGCACTAATGAACAAGTAATGAAATATCAGTAGACATATCAGTATGCTTGAGTATATATCCGAGTGTGTTTGTAAAAATAACAATTAAAGACTAAGATGTGAAAATGAGCAAAGGTTGGAGAAAGGAATGAGAAGGGAGAAACAAAGTAATTATATTTTAATATTAAAACTTAAAAAATATTTAGTAATATCATTTCTATACTACTGTCCTTCAGGAAATGAATATAATATTACCTCTCATCAGGAATGATATTTCTCATAGCAAAATAAGATATTTTCTGTAGATTTATTAATGGAACCTTTTGTGAATTAAAGGTTTGCCAATTTTAATTTTTTCTTGATATTCCCTAAGTTTTTTCAAATCTTAAATAATATTCTTATACTAAATTGAACTTTCAATGTTGGAATAAGTCCATTTGGGCTATGATATACAGCCCTTTATATCTTTCCTGGTTACACTATGCCAATATTGAATTATGATTATATAAGTTTCTTTATAATGAATATTGACAGTTAAGTTTTTTGACACAGAGTTTTAATTTGTAGTCCACATAGCATAAATCTCACTTCAGGCTCTCAAGTGATGACATTATAAGTATATATCAACAGGTTTAATTATATTTAATAATCTTTTCTTTTTCATCAGGAATTGTCAGCATGGGTATATTAACTTCTTAGTAAGACCATTAATGTAAATTTCTGCTCCACTGGAGTTTAGTGCCTAGTATTATAATCTTGGTAAAAAAAAAAAAAAAAAAAAGAATCTCTCTTGTGAGGTCATAGTTCTAAGGTAGAACCTATTATTATTTTGAAAAATTATCACGATGTCAAATTGCCTTTTGAGTATTTACATTTATATCTGTAAACCTGGATTATTCTCAACCTTCATCAGAAAAATATCCTTTTACAATGGGCAGCATTTAATGGAGAGATAAATAAATGGTTGCGGTGCTAATAATAGGAGAGTCACCCTTCAATGGGATATCTTTACTGAACCTTCCATATGGATGCCTAGGGAACATCCCTGAAGAAAAGGCAGAAAGACTGCAAAATCTGTAGACTATGCTCTGTAGTGCTGTCTTCCGAGCAGAATATGACTGTTGCTCTCTTGTGTATGTATATACATGTACATTCCTAAGTATAACCTACCCAGTCCATACAGTGTTCCTCATATGTACGATTATAAGGCTGACCATTGTCACTGGACAACCATTTGTTATGCTGTTCTCTGAGGAAGACTACCTCTTCTGCTTCCAGCTGTCCTCTGTTGCCTGTAGTTATTTGTGTAGGATTGAGGCCTCATAGTCTTTTCCTCATTTATTTTGGCAGGTCCATTGGTGTTGTTCTTATGAAGCTTATGTTTGATCAATCATGTTGGTGGGGCTTAGGGCTATAGATTCTGCCATTACCAGGTGACACAATCTCACAGCCAACTCTCTGTTCTTCTGTCTCTAACAGTTTTTCTGTTTCCTTTTCTGAGATGTTTCCTGAGCCATAGCTGTGGTAGTGTTTTGTAAATATATTCCTTGGGACAGCAGAGATAAAGAACAGCTTGTACACCTAAGCTGTGACACAAACAAGAATTCTACCCACCTCAAAGTGTACTTGCACACCAACCTGAGGCTAAGAAGCTCTTGTTAAGACCACATTTCTATGGTTCAAAAACCTGAGCTGCCAGAAATGGACTGAAATCAAAGGTACAAAACATTGAAGAAAGCCAACTCCTCAGAGTGAGGAAAGCTGTTCACAGAAAGATGACTTGCAAGAGATAATTGTGTAAGTCCATTTAAGGACTTACAGCAAACACTGGTAGCCTGGTATAGATAATTTGCCATGCAGCCTATATAAGCACTAAAATTTTTTCATTGATCTGATCATTTTTCAGTTTAAAAAAGTGCTTTTGTAAATTTTGATTTTTAGCGTAGATTATGTATTTCTAGCACTCACTATAATTGCCTTTCTTCAGTTTTAAATTTTACATAGAATCCTTTGATTTTTTTTTAACCTCAAAAGGAGAGAAAGGGAGAGAGGTCTCTGTCATTAGTTCCTTCTGTAATTGTAGTGACTTGGCTCTGAGCATCTATATCTATGGTTTCTTTGCCTCTTGGTTCAAGTAACTTCAGACTGAAGCTAATAGAAAAAAAATAATTTTGCCCCTATTGAACACTACAATTTTTTTAGGCTTAGACTTAAAAAAAAATGCTCTGCTTCCCTTCCAACCAACTGACCAGAGGTGCAGGAAGAAGGTTATTAGATAAGGGGTGTGTGGACTCTTTTAGGTGTAGTTCCTTGGGGCAAGTCCACTCTTCATTGTCTGGATACTAGCAGTCTAGGTTGAATGCCAACACCAAACAGCAACACAGATCAACATGATTCAGCAAGGCTCCAATAAATTGGAAGGAGTCAGCGAAAGCAGCAAAGCTCAGTCAGATTGTCAAAAGAAGTTCTCTGCTCTGGAGTGTAGAAAAATGAAAACCAACAAAGCGATGTGCTTCTTACAAAGAGTAGTAATGCAAAATCGTTGTCTCACTGCCAGTGGGCTTCTATGCATCTCTCT